CTGGATCATTTTTGCCTTGGAATGGAGGAATCTTCATCTTGATGCTGCCTAAGTCATGATCTTGCCGATCTCCCCACCTTGTCAAATTTTGGTCTCCTTTGTTAAATCTATATCTTTGACCCCCTCTACTTCTCATAAATTTGTCCATGCTGAAATTTGAGTTCTAGGCATCATCGTTGAATGCGTCTTCATCATTGTCATCAAGATCGTGATTATGCAAGTTTGGACTTCCATTCTGTATTTGGTATAACTTGGCAATGGCTGCATCTTTCTTCTCCATTTTGTCTTTAATTTCACCAAACATGATGAGCCTCTGAAATTGTTGTTGCATAGCTTTGAGCATGAAGGAATAATCCACTTGGTGTTTTTTTTATCATCACCGCTTGACATGATTGAAACCTATAAGGAATGTTAGAAACAGAAAATAAAAGGACCTCTCAACACTCCCTTACGTGTTTCACTCCACTATCTCACAGAATGGCACTCAACGCTCGTGTTTTGCACAATATAGAACTTGGCTTTTCTCTCAAGTATTGCTCACACCTCTTGCCTTTTTCCCTCACTCAACTTTCCTCTTTCAGTTCGTTATTGAACTAAACAAGCTCAATTCAAGTTATTTTGCAGCAATCTAACTCCAACAAATTTGCAAAAGTTAAAGGAAACAGAAAGACACAAAGGAACCACCAAGAAAAGCAATAAAAGAACCAAACCTAAACAAATTAAAACAAACAAATTAGTTCAAGCACTTCCTAGTAGGAATTGACTTCATAGTAAGATTCCTAACTTAGGAAGGAATAAACCAAATTATTATCTGCTTGTTTTAATATAACTCAAAGAGAATTTCCAACTCCTTATTGGAGTAGGATTCCTTCTTCTTTAAGGATTTGGCCATAGATTTCTTTTCTATATAAGGAATTCCAACCACAGAATTGTGTTGCTTGTTTCTCTCTCTCCTTTTTTTTTTTTGCGATCCTCTTCCCTTTTTTTTTACTACTTCCTTTTTTTTTCTTCTTATTTTCGTGCTTTCTCTCTCTCTCTCTCTCTTTTTGAACAAGCAACACAGATTCAGAAGAGCAAAACAAGAAAAAGAAGAATGACATTGAATTTTTTTTTTTGTTTTGTTTTTGACAATTAAAATTGAAAAATTAAAGATACGCAAACTTGATTTAGGATCTGATGCTTTGATACCAAGATGATGAGAACCCCAAAGAGAACAATGAGACCCACAGCACGACAAGGGATTTCTAAACTCCAGGAAAGCTAAATCAGGTTTATGATAGGACCTTGACCCATTGTTTATGTCGCAACAAGAACCAAAG